CTGTACTTGTTTCTTGCTGTTCAGTACCTCGGGTATCGGTGTCTATGGACTTGATCTAATTCGGGTTGACCTCGATGCCTCGTTGTGACACAAGGAAAACCAGAAATTTTCCTTGAGGCCACGCCGAAGGCGCATTTTTTCCGGATTCAGTTTCATCCGTACTTAACCTATCTCGAAGCTTTCTTTCAAATGATCGATATGATCTTCTTTCTTTGCCGATTTCACCAGCATGTCGTCGATATAGACCTCATTTCTCTTGTCCGAGTTGTTCCTTGAACATCTTTGTAACTAACCTCTGGTATGTGGCTCCCGCATTCTTTGAGTCCGAATGGCAATCTACCTTATAGCAGTAAGTCCGTGTTGGTGGGTGATGAAAGTTGTTTTCTCTTTAATCCTCCTCAGCCATTAGAATTTGGTTGTACCGGAGTAGCATCCAAGAAAACTCAGCAGTTCGTGTCCCGCTGTTGCGTCGATCAGTTGGTCCGATATGGGGCAAGGGAAAGGAATCTTTTTGGACATGCCTTGTTCAGATCGGTGAAGTCCACGCACATTCTCCACCTTGCCTTTTTTCTTTTTGACCATAACCACATTAGCGACCCATTGGGTATTTCGATTCTCTGATGGAGCCGTTGGCCAGTAACTTGTCCACTTCTTCACACCTTCTCTCTTTTGGTGACAGTTGAAGTAAGGTCTAAGCTTTCGTGAAGCTACGACTAGTGCCAGAGCCGGTTTTTCAAGGTGTGGGTACCTTGTTTCGGCATCGATTAGGGTCTTGCTGATATAGTAAGTGGGGGATTGTGTACCTTTATTTTCGCGGACCAGGACTGCGCTGACGGCGACTTCGGATACTTCTAGGTATACGAGCAGACTCTCGCCTGGGTCCTCCTTGACGAGTAGTGGTGGTGAGGACATATATGCTTTCAGTTTTCTCAGGGCGTCGATGCACTTTTCGTTCCATTGTAGTCCATGATCCTTTTTCAGTACATTGAAGAACTTGTGGCACCTGTTCGAAGATCGCGAAATGAACCTTGATAGGGCGGCTATTCGTCCCGTCAGCTTCTGTACTTGTTTCTTGCTGTTCAGTACCTCGGGTATCGTGTCTATGGACTTGATCTAATTCGGGTTGACCTCGATGCCTCGTTGTGACACAAGGAAAACCAGAAATTTTCCTGAGGCCACGCCGAAGGCGCATTTTTCCGGATTCAGTTTCATCCCGTACTGTTTCAATATCTCGAAGGCTTCTTTCAAATGATCGATATGATCTTCTTTCTTTGCCGATTTCACCAGCATGTCGTCGATATAGACCTCATTTTCTTGCCGAGTTGTTCCTTGAACATCTTTGTAACTAACCTCTGGTATGTGGCTCCCGCATTCTTGAGTCCGAATGGCATCACCTTATAGCAGTAAGTCCGTTGGTGGGTGATGAAAGTTGTTTTCTCTTTATCCTCCTCAGCCATTAGAATTTGGTTGTAACCGGAGTAGGCATCCAAGAAACTCAGCAGTTCGTGTCCCGCTGTTGCGTCGATCAGTTGGTCGATATGGGGCAAGGGAAAGGAATCTTTTGGACATGCCTTGTTCAGATCGGTGAAGTCCACGCACATTCTCCACTTGCCGTTTTTCTTTTTGACCATAACCACATTAGCGACCCATTGGGGGTATTTCGATTCTCTGATGGAGCCGTTGGCCAGTAACTTGTCCACTTCTTCACTGACAGCCTCGTTAATTGCGGCATTGAATTTCCTCCTCATCTTCCGCACAGGCGGATAGAGCGGATCGACATTCAGCCTATGAGTGGCGATGTCTTTTGGAATCCCCGGCATATCTGAGTGTGAAAAGGCAAATAGATCGGCATTGTTAGTAAAAAATTCACGATAATTACCTGGCTCGGAAAGGTTGTGTCCGATATACGCCTTTTTTGTATCGTCGGCATCGTCCAGGTGTACCGTGTCGAGATCTTCAATAGTTGCTTTGCAAGCTTCTACAACGTCGGGCTCTATGATGACTTCTGCTGGCGAGTCAGTTTTAGCTCCTGATATGGCTGATTTCTATGCCTCCGCGCTTGACCCTTTTAACTTCTTGGTATGCGTGCAATCTTGGGCGATCCGGTAGCATTCCTGGGCGGTGCGCGGCTCGCCTCGAATGCTGAAAATTCCCCACGGGGTGGGAAACTTGATTACCTGATAGAAGCTTGAGGGGACGGCTCGCATGGCGTGTATCCATGGGCGTCCAATGATGGCATTATAGGCGGTTTCCTGGTCCATGACGTGGAATGTAGTTTCCAGCGTGACTCCCCCAGCCAGGACTGGTAATGCTATTTCTCCAGATGTCCGCTCTACCGCATTATTAAAACCTGTTAGTGTTATGCGACGTGGTATTATCTTGTTCTCGAGCTTCATTCGCATGAGAACTCTCGGGTGGATAATACACGCGCCGCTTCCATCATCTACCATAATTCTCTTCACATCTGTATCAGCAATGCGTAATGCTATGACTAAAGCATCGTAATAAGAGAAAGACAAACCATCGGTATCTGACTTTTCGAAGATGATACTGTCTTCGAAGCCATCATACCGTTCGTGAGTGATTGTACGTTTCAGCTTATGCGTGGTGGCGAACTTTATGTGGTTGATCACTGAGTCGTCGCCACCGCCGATAATCATTTGTATGGTACGTGCCGGCGACGGTAGCCTTGGTGGTCCTTGAGATGGGTCGCGCCCTCTGGCGAAGTTGGCCTTTCCCTTATCACTGAGCAGTTCTTTTAGGTATCCCTGGTTCAGCATTCTGACCACCTCCTGTCGTAAACCTATGCAGTCTTCGGTCTTGTGTCCTCTTTCCTGATGGAATTCGTAGAGGACACTTGATCTTCTTGCGCTTGGGTTCGATTTCATCTTTGGTGGCCACTGCACTTTCGTGCCCAGCTTCTCTAGTGCGTACACTATTTCTGAAGGGGAAACACAAAAGTTGTGAGCATATAATAATGGAGGCATACCTTTTTCGTTTTGAAGGGGCGCGATATGTCGCGACACGGCATCTGCATGCCTCGGGGGAGGCGGATTTGGATTTCTGACATAGGGCTGATGCCTTTCTCTGTTGAAGCACGGGAGCTGATCCCTTCGTCCGTCGCTACGTCGATCCCTCCTTACCTCGGACTGTACTGACGCTAGTCGCTGGGTTGGACCGTTGAGATCATCTTCATCTGCTCTTACTTCGGTGCAGTAGGCATTATGGATTTCCTCCCATGTGGTGGGAGGGTACTTCATGAGTCTGTTGAGTAACTTCTTGGTTGCCTTCGATCCGCTTCTGCTTAATCCGTTTTGGAAGGCTGCGACCGCCATTCCTTCCCACACATTTGGCAGTCCCATTCTTACCCTGTTGAACATGGCTAAAAAGTCCCGGAGCCCTTCGCCCGCCGTTTGTCTGATAGCGAAGATGTCATTGATCCTGGCTTCAGCCTTCTTTGCTCCTGCATGAGCGGTAGCGAATTTATCCGCCATTTCCTCGAACGTCGATATCAACCGTGCTGGTAACTGAGAATACCAGGTTAACGCTCCTCCTGTCAAAGTCTCACCGAACTTTTTCTATAGCACAGATGGCACTTGTTCTTTTGACAAGTCGTTGCCTTTTACCGGAGTGACGTAATGAATCAGGCGATCTTCTGGATCCGTGGTCCCGTCGTATATTTTCAAGTATGGTGGCATTTTAAAGGTTTTCGGGATGGGGTGGGGAGCAGCTTCCTCACTGTACGGCTTCTCGACAAACCTTCCCACATCGCGTTTTGGCAGCAGCTTAGGGGCGCCGGGTATTTTGTCAACCCTTTCCTGGTGTTCTTTCATTTGGTCATGAAGCATTTTGTTCTCGTTTTTCATTTCTTCCATTTTCTTTAGGATGATCGCGAGTGTACCATCACTTGCATCGGTGGTAGTGCGAGTGTTGATTGTTTGTACAGTGCCCGGCTCGCTGGTGACAGCAGCGACTTCTACCGCCGGCAAATCTCCGGTATTTCCTAGAGGGGTTTTTTCAAGCACGGTGTTTAGAGCGCTTGTCAACCACTCCTCTAATAGCTTTTGGACTGCTAGTGGTGTTTCTTTCACCGTGGACGTTGAAGTTCCTCTGTCGCGCAAGATCATCGGATCCTCGAGTATAGAGGGTGAGATCTCTCCCTCCGGTATACCTCTTGGCGTTACATTCTCGGTATTTTCTCTACCGGCTTCGTTAAGGGAGTCTAAGAGGTTGTTTGAGACATCTGCTATTGCCTTCAACCTTGCTTCTTTCTCTGCCATCGCTGGTTTCTATGGAGTGCGAAGGATAGAGATCGTTGATTTTGATATCCCAGGTGAGAACTACGATTTCAACTACCGAAATCACCACAGACGGCGCCAAATTGTTTGACACAAAAGATGTTAAACCTTTTTTTAAGCAAATCAATCAAAGAGGTGAAGGGGTAAATCGTAGTTGAAGATAATAATCCCCAGGATCGTTTCAATAATCGGAACAATAATAGCAATAAAGGAAAGAGATTGAGAGAGAGAAGGAGAGAGTGATATCGAGATCAAAATTAGGGAGAGAATCAGTTTTTCTATTACAAGTTGTCTGCCTATTACAAGGTTCGGATCCCCTTTATATAATGGGGGATTCGAGCTCAGTCCTTAGAGTGACGACGTCAGTGTGCTTTATAGGGGAGCCGATAACGGGTCGAGGTCGTCCCTCCTCTCACCCCGGGGTCGTTCTCTCGTGTTGGCTCGCAAACATTCGGTGGTTGGTCATGTTGACGGTAGAACGTGGTTGGTCAAATTCGACCCCATACAGAACCAACTTACTTATAATCCTTGTGCAAAAAATAGAAAGGCCGCTTATATACAACAACAACAACAACAATTCCAGTGTAATCCCACGAATGGGGTCTGGGGATGAGGAATCTGTGTATGCAGACCATCCCGTACCCTGTGAAGGTAGAGAGGTTGTTTCCGAAAGGCACTCGGCAAAAGTTTAAAGAATTATACCTGTGCACCAGTGACACCTGAAATTTCACTCTTTGAACCTGCTTTTAGTGTTGTAGCTGGTAATATAACTTGGTTTTTCCTTAGCGTTTCAATTTCTTCCACTGGCCATTGAACCAATTGCTTTCCAGATTTGGCAAGCCAAATTTTCCGTGGAAACGTCTGTAAAACAATGAGTATAATTATAACTTCATTAGACAATGTGGGTCGAAAAAGTATTGGAGAGAGGTGATCAGGACATAACATTGTACTTCTTTTTCTTAGTTGTGTTATCCTCGTATTCCATATTTTTAGATCGCTATTATTACCTGATGTTTCCTTTGTTTCAGTTTTATTTTTTCTGGTTGTTGTTACTGTTTCTCTTCCCATATAACTGCTGTGATTTTGCTTTTATTGAGCCAAGAGTCTACTGAAACAGTCTCTCTATCTTCACAAGGTAGTGCACATATTTAAAAAAGGCGTCGAAGGAATTAATTACCTGAAGACCAGACCATCCTTTGATGATATCAATTTCCCTACTTGTAGACTCATCAACCCAAGCAATAAAGATCCTCCTGTTTTTGGCACTGTCAAAGAAAGATTTGGAAGCAAAAAACCTTCCATAATCCAATCTTAATCCTGATTCAATATTGTCTACAAATCCATCATCTGGTATATATACATCGTTTTCATGGTCATAACTTCCAATCGTATAATAATCAACACCAGTAGCAGCCACACTAATCTTCAGTACATATTTAACTCCATGCAAAATCACTGAAGTGTCAACTCCATTTTCAGTACCATCAACTAATACAGGGAAAAGTTCAGGACATTCCCACATTTTCGTTTCATTTGTCCAATGCAAGGGCCGCTCAGCTTCAGTCCAGTGAATAAAATCTTTACTTTTGTATAAAAGAGCAGTTCCATTGCTTTCTCTTTCATTTCCTATGATTACTCTCCAAATTCCATCGTCAGGGCCTAACCACGCCGTGCACGGGTCCCTGAACAAAGTTTCTTCCCCTGGATTAGGTACCATTATCGGATTATGATCCGATTTAATCCATTCGATAAGGTAAGGATCTGATAAATCTTTTGGTATGGCTAGATTTTGAAGTTGTGTATCTTGTGAATCACAACCAGTGTAGAGTATAGCTGGTGTGCCATTTTGGAGAATTGTAACAGAACCTGACCAACAACCATTGATGTCATATGAATCTGAAGGGAAAAGTGCAGGAGGATGAACAGTCCAGTTAATAAGATCAGTTGAAGTAGAATGACCCCATGCTAAGTTTCCCCATATTGCAGCTTCAGGATTGTACTGGTAAAATAAATGGTATATTCCCTTGTATATCATTGGTCCTGCAAATTTAATCTTGTAAAATACTATCAGAATTTTGGTGTAAATTAACTTGTTACAACAGGTTATTTACCATTTATTTTAGTTTATCAAGTTATGCTATTATAGAGTAACTAGCAATAACCTATTGATTGTGTAAATATTTTTTCATATTGTTCAGTGCATTGATGCAATGAATGGGGTAAATATAGTAATGCTATGAATGACCCAGAATTAAATACGGGTAATAATATAAACAAATGAACATCCTCCTGTGCTTCCAAACATGCTGTTCAAATTTGTACATAATTTTCTCCTTAGCTCTAGTTCCTATAATTACTTGGATCCTCTACTCTAGATGCACAACGAAGAGTTTGATTATATTTAATTTTATGATTAACATTTTCCTTATTATATTGAACAAGCAAGCAAACAACTACTGATGATTATAAATTCCATCGAATTATAAAATAATACATAATGTGGTTATCACTTACAATACCTTCATTCAAGTTTAGTGTAATTCTTGAATTTTATTTAAATTTTTGGTATACTTAAACTAGGGGTGTACATAGGTCGGGTTGATTCGTACTTTTAATTACCAAGCCATATTAATAGTGTCGGGTTTTTAAATCTATAAACCAACCAAATCAAACCAATAAAGTCGGGTTTTTCAATCTCGATTTTTCTCGAGTTTTCGGGTAGCACAAAATACTTGTCTCCAAGTATTTTTTTAGTCCTAATAAGATAGAACTATATAATGTATTTTTCAAGAAAACAACACAATAATATGAGATAAGTCATAGCAATATATTAAAATATTCAATAAAAAAGATAATAAAATTGCATAAAGCATAAGCCGTAATGAGAATTAACATAATCTAAAAATACTCTATAGGTCATGCTAAAATAAATATAGCTAATAAGTACTATTAATTACATAACTAAGCACTAAAGAAAAAGATAAACTAAGTTATGCATTTTCATTATATACCAATATAAAACTAAAAAATAGTGTCCAACACTATCATCATTCCTAGTGTTGAATTGAATTTCTTTTGTTAGCATTAGTATTGATTTGAACTTTGTTTGAGTTACTACATTTATGGGCTATAAAATTTATTTACCATTCAAGAATATCAAGTGCAAACTTGAAATAATACGTTAAAAGATAAAGCTGTGAAAAAGTTTAAGGAATATTTACAAATTACATTACAATAAATACTTGTATGTATAAAATATTTTTTTAAATTGAATAAATATAATATCAGATTGGTTTGGTTTCGGTTTGACTCTTTTTAGTTAAAACCAAATTAATTATGGTTGGATTTTTTTTTTCAATACCAAACCAAATCACAATCGGTTTTTTTTTCCAGCTTGACTCGAATTGTCGATTTAGTGCGATTTATGTGTTTTCTTTCTACAACCCTAACTTAGACAATGAAATCTTTATTTTAGAAAGATTTTCTAGGACAACTTTCCCCTTTCGTAAATGAAAATATAAAAACGGACAAGAAAAGAAGAACATTAATTTCAACGTCCAGCCACAACTTATTTTTGGGGGATTTGCATCTATACCTGCTTTTTGGGTCACGTTTTAACTTATGCCCGCTTTGCAAAAAAAAATTGCAAGCGTACCCACTTTTTCGCGTAACTTCAGCATACGGGGCTGAAGTAGCAAAGGCAATCACGCAAAACTTTAGCATTCTAGTAGACGGGGCTGAAGTTTTTTTGTCCTGGATAAGATGCTGAAGTTATTAGTTCATTTTTAAAAACTTCAGCACTAAAATAGCTGAAGTTTTTTTTGTTCTGGATTCATTAGTTTTGTCATAAAACTTTTTCAAAAACTTCAGCAGAAGATGCTGAAGTTATTTAGTTCATTTGTAAAAACTTCAGCACTAAAATAGCTGAAGTTTTTTGTCCTGAATTTATTAGTTTATCATAAAACTTTTTCAAAAACTTCAACAGAAGATGCTGAAGTTATTTAGTTCATTTGTAAAAACTTCAGCACTAAAATAGCTAAAGTTTTTTTTGTCCTGGATTCATTAGTTTTGTCATAAAACTTTTTCAAAAACTTCAGCAGAAGATGTTGAAGTAATTTAGTTCATCTGTAAAAACTTCAGCACTAAATAAGCTGAAGTTTTTTAGTCCAGGATAAGCTTTTTCAAAAGATTCAGCAGAAGATGCTGAAGTTATTTAGTTCATTTGTAAAAACTTCAGCACTATATAAGTTAAAGTTTATGAAAAAACTTTCTAACATACTAGATAAATAATCACCTTATTCTTTCATAGTGTATTACTACTATAAAATAATCAGATTGCCAACAATATCTAAATCATAAATTTTGAAAACAATAAACGTGAAAAGAACAGAATTACGTCGAAATATTCACAAATTATTATCTACTAACTTACGTAATTATTTATAATTTATTTTTAAATAATCTGATAAACATACTTATGGCAATCATCCCATGGGCTGAAGTTTTATAGCAGCACCAACAGCAGCAGAAGAAAGAAGAAGAAGAAGAAGAAGAAGAAGAAGAAGAAAACAAAGGAGGAGAAGGGGGAGGAGAAAGGGGGTTGAAGTTATTTAAAAAGGGGTACAAGTTAAAACTTTTTAAATGGGTATAGGTTAAATGGGGGCGACCAAATAGGGCGCCCCGTGCAATTTTTACCTTATTTTTATGGGAAACTTATGCAAATGTCTCAAATAAGTCTCGACTTATCAACCTCTAGTCATATTAGTCATACTTACCAAAACTAGCCAAGTACATATAAAAATTGAAAAATCAAATAAATAAGGTTCTTTCTGTCAAAGAATCACATGCAAAAATCACCTTCCATATTTTTAAGTGTGATTAGCAACATTAGATGCAAGACGGAAAGAAAATTTCATGGATGAGGTAGCAAATAAGGTGATGAAATATAATTAAAAATATATGCTATATTTCAAAAATCTAAGTAAAAAAAAAGAACTTTTTCAATGGGTATAGATGAAATTCATTGAAAATGTATAGATAAGTCAATATACAAAATTTGAGGAAGATTGGGGGTGATTTGGATTGGTTTTGTATCAAAGTTCGTAATTAAATCGAGTTAAAAAAATTCTTTCTCCTACACATGTATCAAACATATATCACGCATGTATCTCACATAGGTATACATGAATATACATGTGATACACAAATGATACACAGTGTGATACACATCATCTTTTTCATGTTCAGTTTTTACTTCGAATTTTCAATTCAAACCACCTCAAAACTTCACCAAATCATCCCAAAACTGAGATTCAAGCTCCGTAAGATGTACTCAATCTATTCTAATAACACCCACTCAAAAGAAAACAAAGATTTGACTTTTTTTTTGCTACAAATAGCTAATTGGCTATTATTAGTAATATTTGGTAATATTAGTAATATTTTATGAATTGGTCAATTTTTGTAATGAACTACTTATAAATGGATATAGCCGGTAGTTTGCCAATTAGTAAGCTAAAATTACATCCAATTATCCCCATTTCTCTTTCTTATCGTACCCTTGAGTTTTTAGGTTTGTACAATATTATTGGAGGAGAGAGTTGGAACGACAACATTAAAATTTGCTAGTATTATTTGTGACATGAAAAAGGTAGATTTATGTGATAGAATTATAAGTCCTCTAAATAGAAAGTGACGATTAGACAAGAAAACTTACCATTAGGATCTGTGAGTCCAACGACATGTATTCCAGTTCATCAGCATTACAAGTCAACGACACGATCCACCAATCGAACAAAAATCAATAATAAATAAATAAATATATAAAATATAAAAAATAAGAGTTTCGTTTAGATCAAACAAAAATAATCACAAATCTGAAAAAGGATGAGCGTGTTTAAGAATATACCATTAATCCAATTCCGGGGAGGTTGAAAATGATATGCAGTTCTATAAGGTTGAGCCATGAAGAGAGAAAAATATTGAGTGCAAAATATAAGATAGTCTATGGATCTTGGCTTGGTGAAAGCAAGAAACTTTGTTTTTTGTTAGTGCAAATGTTGAATACAACCGAAGAAGGTATAAATACACTATCCCATCTTACTCTCTCTTGTACAAGTCAAAATAATATATCCCAAGTCGTGTATTCCAACTAATCCAAAGACGGCAAACAAGAGGAGACTTCCATTCCATATATCTTACACAAGTCAAAATATTATATTCACAAGTCAAAATAATATATTCTAGCAAATTAAAACCGAAAATGTTAGTGTTTATGAATTTGTCATCAATGATCTTAGCCAAACTTGGGCACAAAGTTTTCAATCAAACTTGATGAATTACCATAAAGACATCACTCTACTCTATATATATATTCTGACTAATCCAAAGATGCCAAACGTCCATATACAAGTCAAAGTAATATATCCCAAATCTGTCTGAATTCAATCATCTATCAATATCAATATTATATTATATTATTATATCATCATTATACTATATTATAAGTATGAAGCCCAAAGAGTAAGGTTAGATTACCAAAATGCCCAATAATAGCTAGATGACCATTTTCTCTTTTACTTAAACAGCACTTCTATAATATATTTGTACCAAAAAGTAAAATTACTTTCTGTTGAGACTAGTGATGATTGTGGTGGTTAGACTTCATTAGTTAGTTAGATTAGCTGTAACTAACTTACTTAGAGTTGAGTTAGTGTAACTCAAGTTAGCTTAGTTTTACTCTAGTCAAAAATTAGAGTTGGTTAATTATATATACTGTACATGTACATATACAGTAGTCAACAGAGCAATAAAACAGTGCTTCTTCTTCCTCAGAAATATCTCGCCATTTTCCTTCCCTCTCTGAAATTTAGATCTGCAGCTTCCAATCCATGGCAAGTATCCATGGTAGCTGATTTCTTCATGGTATCAGAGCCACACGACCATTAGTGTGGTCTTAGTTCCTTCCTCAATTCCGATTTCACGAAGCTCACTTGAAGGATCAACAATGGCGACGATTGACAACACTGAACCGGAGAAGCTAGGTCATAATCATCCACTCTACCTGAATTCCAACGACAATTCAGGAGCAGTTTTGATTTCACTACAATTGAAAGGGCCAGAAAACTACTCTGTGTGGAGTCGAGCAATGCGGATTGCAATTTCAGGTCGAAACAAGCTAGGGTTCATCAACGGAACATGCAAAAAGGAAAATTACGGTACGAATCTCATTGACCTCTGGGAACGATGCAATGCGATTGTCCTATCCTGGTTGATGAACTGCGTTTCACCGGAATTGCTGAGTGGTTTGGTGTATTCCTCGAATGCTAATGAAGTTTGGGATGATTTAAAGGAACGTTTCGATAAGGTCGATAGCTCTAGGATTTTTCAGATCCATAGAGAAATTGCTACAACTAGGCAAGGTACTAGCTCAATTTCCACTTACCTCTCAAAATTGAGAGTACTTTGGGCAGAATTTGACAGTTTAGCACCAATTCCTAGTCGAGATGCTGCAAATTCTCGTGATTTTGTTCAGTTTATGGAGCGTCAAAAGCTTCTGCAATTTCTGATGGGACTTAAGGAGTCTTATGAGCAAGCTCGTAGTCAACTCCTGATGATGGTGCCAGTACCATCAGTGAACAAGGCATATTCTATGTTAATGGAACGTGAGAGCCAAAGAACTATGGTAAGTGCTTCTGCTAGCTTGGACAATGCTGAATGACAGCATTAATGGCTAATAGGGCTGGAAATCAGCAGAAGATAAGGAAGAATTACAACCTTTTCTGTGATTTCTGTAAAATGAAGGGACATACTAAGGAGATTTGCTACAAAATAGTGGGATATCCGAATGATAACAAGTTCAGGAAGAAATACAACACACAAGATGCAACTAACATAGCAGTTGAACAGACTGCACCTGCAGAATGCATGCCAATTCCAACTCCCGTTGCACAAACCTTCACTCCAGAACATTACCAGCAGATTTTGCAACTTCTAAATAGCAAGCCTACAAAGGTGAAAGCTAATGCAGCAGATCTTGAGTCAGGTAATAACACTTGTCTAAGGACCTTTTTGAATCAGGGAGACTGGATTATAGATAGTGGAGCCTCATACCACATGACTTCAACTGTTGACTTGCTGAGTAATATCACTCCATTAGACAGTAGTAGCTCAGTTCACTTACCAAATGGAAACATAGCTAAAATCACTCATAGAGGATCAGCTAATATTCTTAAAGATTGCAGAATTAGTGATGTGCTTCATGTTCCACATTTTAAGTATAACCTGCTGTCAGTTTCCAAACTTACTAAGGAGTTGCAATGCTTGGCTGCATTCTTTCCTGATCTATGTGTGTTTCAGGACCTCCACACTGGCAAGGTGTTGGGGATTGGTAGTGAAGCTAATGGACTATACATTCTTAGGAGCTGTCTCCATAAGAGGCAATCACCTACACCAACTGTAAATACCACAGCTATGCAGACTTCAACACAGAATAAGCAGAGCTCAATAAATCTGAGGATCTGGCATCAAAGACTTGGACACATGCCTATGGAAGCTATTAAGAAAATTGGCAAGCTCAAGCACCATCTTACAAAGGAAGGATCAGAGACTATATGTTTTGATTGTTCTGTTTGTCCATTAGCTAGGCAAACTAGATTGCCATTTCCTGTTAGTACCAGTAGAACAAAGTGTCCATTTGAACTTTTGCATGCAGATGTATGGGGGCCTTATAGGGTACCTACCTATGACAATAAAAGATTTTTTCTTACTATTGTTGATGACTACTCTAGAAGCAATTGGTTATTTCCGATGAACACCAAAGATGAAACTTGTTGGTTGATGAAGGGACTAATTTTAATGATTCATACACATTTCAACTGGTCTGTTAAAGCTATTAGAACAGACAATGGATCAGAATTTGTCAACTTAGATGTGAGATACTTCTTAGAATCACAGGGGATCATTCATCAAACGACATGTGTATATACTCCACAACAGAATGGTGTTGTGGAGAGGAGACATAGATATATTCTGGAGGTAGCAAGAGCTTTAAGGTTTCAAGCTGCTATTCCTTTAAAATTCTAGGGTGAGTGTGTTCTTACAGCAGTGCACATCATAAACAGGCTACCATCTACAGTTCTAAAGGGTAAGTCTCCATATGAAAAGTTGTTCAATACTGAACCTTCTTTGGACCATTTGAAGGTGTTTGGGTGCCTATGCTATGCTGTGAATGTCAGAAGGCAGGACAAGTTCTCAAACAGAGCTTTACCTGCAGTGTTCATGGGATATACTCCAACCAAAAAGGGCTACAAATTGTATGATTTGCAATCTAAACAGTTTGTTGTTAGTAGGGATGTTGTCTTTAAGGAACATATATTTCCCTTCAGACAAATGAAGCTGTCACCTACTCCATTCTTTCCACCATTTGAGCCAGATGAGATGCCAAATGTTTTAGATACACTGTGTGAAGATTCAGCAGCTGATCACACTACAGATCATGATAGTGATGCGGGACAAGGGAATGAAGCAGTCCCTGAAGAATCAGATATTCTACCTACTCCTATACCAGTTGTTGACAACATTGTTTCTGATGTTGTACCACAGCTGCAGCCTGAGTCCTCTCATTTGCAGGACATGAATGATGCTCTACCAATTGCAGTCAGAAAGCAACCTAGAACTGCAGGGCCACCAAAATGGATGCAGGATTTTGTATCCACATCTTGTGCATACCCTATGTCAGACTACCTGAGCTATGATAAATTATCTCCTTCTTATGTTAGATGCTTGTCAGCTCAATCCTCCATAGTTGAGCCCAAGCATTATCATGAAGCTTCTAAAGATGCAAGATGGGTGGCTGCCAAGCAAGAAGAAGTTACAGCATTAGAAGAAAACAACACATGGGAAGTTGTTGATCTGCCTGCTCATAAAGCTCCTATAGGATGCAAGTGGGTATATAAAGTAAAATACCATGCTGATGGCAGAGTGGAGAGGTTCAAAGCTAGACTTGTAGCCAAGGGCTTCAGTCAAAAGGAAGGCCTAGACTACAAGGAGACATTTTCACTTGTGGCCAAGANATATATATATATATATATCGCGCGTGTGTGTGCTTGAGGTGAATTCTTAGTGGACTTTTTGTGTTCGGTAATAATAAAATTTTACGAACTGGCATTGGGAGGTTGTCATGGTTAATGTAAATCGAGTATTTTGTTAATTGGTTTATGCAATTAATTTTAATTTGCTACTTGGGATTCTGACAATTTCTTGAATTCTTGAATTTTTTTGCTTATTACATCAAAATAGCTGCAATTTTTTTTTAACTTACACTTTAATTTCTTTTCAATTAGTTGGAAACTCATTTCATTGACTACTGTATTGTTGCTAATTTAGCAATCATTCATTTAGTGATATTCATGACCGTGTATGATTGTTTTGTGATAAATTGGATACTTGTATTTTGTTCCTTGCGTAGATGCAGAAGAAGTTTATTTATGATAGGTTATGCAAATTATGTACTTATATTCATACTAAGAAAAGAAATGTTTTAATAATTAACACATCAAAATTGATATGATTTTTATAACCTTTAGGCTTAGCATATGATATATGTGTACTATTTTAGTACGGTTAAATTTTTGTCCTACTCCGAAAATAAAATATTAGGTAGATAAACTTTCCTCCTTCATTGGCTATTTAAAATAGCCAATTACATTGAATTTTCTTTTTCAATACAGGCAGAGATCAGAGTCCAACATTTTCAAGGACTTAATAGTTCTTACTTCTAATTTATTCTAACCATGTAATCAGAAACTTTGAGAGATTTTTTCGAGAAAATTTATAAATAAAAATGTTAATAGTTGTAGAACGTAGTTAGATTTGTGAATACGATGAAAATTACTCCACCCCCCCCCCCCCCCCACACCAACTTTATATTTAAATCAAAATTGTTGGTAGAAAGACTTTCTGCAAACAAATGAATTTAGAAGGGGGGAAAAGCACTCAAGATACGCTTAGTGTGAAAAAAAATATTTTTCTTGATATAAGTATTATTCTTTCTTATTTTTTGATATTTGGTTAGTAGGGTCCATTGGGTAACGAGGACTATTTACAACTCAATTGGTAACACTCAAGTCATTTTCTTAGCTAAGTTATTTACACCTTTAGCTT